GCCAGAAAATATGTAGATCAGGCTAGTGTCTACATAGAGGCTACCGACGTAACTACAGATGCCGCTTTTAAAAGCGTGACAGGGTCTTCTGAATTATAGTGATTCCTCTGTGATGTTGATCAAGACAGCCCATATTCAGCCCAGATTCAGCCCGGATTCAGCCCAGATTCGGGACATCTCCGATCAAGTTGAAACTCGCACACAATGTAGGTCCTGACATGCCCAATCCACAGTCCGAGTCATTTGGCGGCACTCCCAGCCGTTTGACCTACAGAGGTCAGCAAAGGTCACGTGGCCCAAATTTGCACAGCAGATTGTGGCCCACCCAGTAGAGCTAGAGCGCTAAAAATGGCACCAATCGACTCGCCAGCATCTAATCTTACTTTCTCAACACTCATTTGACCTCTCAAGGTCATGCGATGACCCAAGGTCATTGGTGGGCTATGTCGAAAATACACTTGCACAGCAGTTTTCGAGTAGAGGAATTGACCGAATGCCAAATCAAAGCACATCATTGGGTAGCCCACAGGCCGTAGTAACTTTCCTTAAAAACCGCTTCTCGATATGTGACCCCGTTTGACCTCGGCAGGTGACACTCACAGCCGTTTGACCTACAGAGGTCAGCAAAGGTCACGTGGTCCAAATTTGCGTCACGTGGTCCAAATTTGCACAGCAGATTGTGGCCCACCCAGTAGAGCTAGAGCGCTAAAAATGGCACCAATCGACTCGCCGGCATCTAATCTTACTTTCCCAACACTCATTTGACCTCTCAAGGTCATGCGATGACCTAAGGTCATTTGTGGGCTGTGTCGAAAATACAGTTGCACAGCAGTTTTCGAGTAGAGGAATTGACCGAATTCCAAATCAAAGCACATCATCGGGTAGACAATAGGCCGTAGTAACTTTCCTTGAAAACTGCTTCTCGATATGTGACCCCGTTTGACCTCGTTAGGTCAAAATGTACAAATAAACGACACTCCATACGTCTCAGTCCGGATTCAGCCCAGATTCGGGACATCTCCGATCAAGCTGAAACTCGCACACAATGTAGGCCATGACAGGCCCAATCCACAGTCAAAGTAATTCGGCGGCACTCCCAGTTGTTTGACCTACAGAAGTCAGCAAAGGTCACGAAGCCCAAATTTGCACAGCAGATTGTGGCCCACCCAGTAGAGCTAGAGCGCTAAAAATGGCACCAATCGACTCGCCAGCATCTAATCTTACTTTCCCAACACTTATTTGACCTCTCAAGGTCATGCGATGACCTAAGGTCATTGGTGGGCTATGTCGAAAATACAAAATTGCACAGCAGTTTTCGAGTAGAGGAATTGACCGAATTCCAAATCAAAGCACATCATCGGGTAGTCCATAGGCCGTAGTAACTTTCCTTAAAAACCGCTTCTCGGTATGTGACCCCGTTTGACCTCGGCAGGTCAAAATGTACAAATAAACGACACTCCATACGTCGCAGCCCGGATTCAGCCCAGATTCGGGACATCTCCGATCAAGCTGAAACTCGCACACAATGTAGAGCCTGACATGCCCAATCCACAGTCCGAGTCATTTGGCGGCACTCCCAGCCGTTTGACCTACAGAGGTCAGCAAAGGTCACGTGGCCCAAATTTGCACAGCAGATTGTGGCCCACCCAGTAGAGCTACAGCGCTAAAAATGGCACCAATCGACTCGCCAGCATCTAATCTTACTTTCTCAACACTCATTTGACCTCTCAAGGTCATGCGATGACCTAAGGTCATTGGTGGGCTATGTCGAAAATACACTTGCACAGCAGTTTTCGAGTAGAGGAATTGACCGAATTCCAAATCAAAGCACATCATTGGGTAGCCCACAGGCCGTAGTAACTTTCCTTAGAAACCGCTTCTCGATATGTGACCCCGTTTGACCTCGGCAGGTCAAAATGTACAAATAAACGACACTCCATACGTCGCAGCGCGGATTCAGCCCAGATTCGGGACATCTCCGATCAAGCTGAAACTCGCACACAATGTAGGCCCTGACATGCCCAATCCACAGTCCGAGTCATTCGGCGGCACTCCCAGCCGTTTGACCTACAGATGTCAGCAAAGGTCGTGTGGCCCAAATTTTCACAGCAGATTGTGGCCCACCCAGTAGAGCTAGAGCACTAAAAATTGCACCAATCGACTCACCATCATCTAGTCTTACTTTCCCCACACTCATTTGACCTCTCAAGGTCATGCGATGACCTAAGGTCATTTGTGGGCTATGTCGAAAATACAATTGCACAGCAGTTTTCGAGGTCAAATGAGTGTTGGGAAAGTACGTGTAAGATTAGATGCTGGCGAGTCGATTGGTGCCATTTTTAGCGTTGTAGCTCTACTGGGTGGGCCACAATCTGCTGTGCAAATTTGGGCCACGTGACCTTTGCTGACCTCTGTAGGTCAAACGGCTGTATGTGCCGCCGAATGACTCGGACTGTGGATTGGGCATGTCATTGCCTACATTGTGTGCGAGTTTCAGCTTGATCGGAGGTGTCCCGAATCTGGGCTGAATCCGGGCTGAATCTGGGCTGAATATGGGCTGTCTTGACGGACATTTCCTCTGTGTTGTGTGCTACTTGAAATCACTTCTGAAAAAGTGATTTGAAGTCGGGTCATTCAAAGTGACCTGGCGGCGATCTGACCTTAAAAGACAGGAAGCTATAACTTGCACACTATGTTGAAATTGATGCGGGAATAGTCGTGACAAATTTCAGAGCTTTTTTCGATATTTTCGAAGACCTCAGGACTCAGGAGGATAGTGCGCAGGTTTACAAGAGGTAGGTCAAGCAATAATATTAACCCGCGCCCCGTTGGGCTCTGCAGAGCAGCGCCCTGTTGGGGGGGGGGGCAATTTGCCCCCCCCCCCCCCCTAAGATCTCGAGAACCACGCAACCTAGCGACAAGCGGCAAACGGTGATCAGGGAACTACCTTGTGACCCAATTTTATTGACCTAGGTCAAACAGATGACGTCACAGGTCAGGTCAAAGGTCGAATTTTCACCGTTTACAGGCATTTCAAGGAATACGTTGTAAAATCGAGTAAAATGCATTTCAATGAAAATCATCGATGGGGAAACGTTCTTCAAACACATATTTTGCTATTTGAGGTCACTGATACCAGGTCAGGTCACAGAGGTCAGGTCACTGAGGGCCACAATATGAAAATATCATGTGATGCATGTATTATGGTCCATTTTATGTCAAATACGATTATGTGGGTCAGGCAGCCTTTGGGGTCAGTTAAGATTATGTTCTGGTGAAGGTCAGGTCAAGGTCAGGTCAAATTAGGTCAAATTTCAAAGTTGATATTTTTGCATAAAATGGGTATCGATTCGATGCAGCTCGTCACGGGGAATTCAATGGTGGTCTTTGTGTTGCCCTACGTGGTCTAGAATCGCTAAAAATTGAGTTCAAAAATTTGACGTCATCATTTTTGAAGTTTTTTCGCTATAACTTGGCCAAAAACGAGATATCCATCTGAAATTTGGTATGTATATAGAAGAGCGCAGGGACTATCACATATATTCCGGTTTCTACGAAATTCGGAAAAAATTGTTTTTTTAGTTTTTCTAAAAAAAATCAACTTTTTTGAATTTTTAGGGGTCAAAAACCAAAAATTTTGAAAATCCGAGAGAGCAGTTTTGTAGCGCCGCTTTTTTTACTGGACCATATAAAGAACTTTGAAATTGCTTGGTAACTGTAGATTTGGTGAGCGTTTCAAGATTGCATGTTTTTTGCTCATTTTTGCTCGAACATGACCTCAGTTTGACCTCAATAACTCCTGACCTAAGGTGACCTAAGACTTGAAATTTGGTGTGAAGGTGTCACATTGATGCCCGGGAAGGTACTAAAAATTTGGCGGCGCTGCGCGCCGCCGTTTTCTTGCTATTTAGGAAAAACCACAGGGGGGCCAAATTGCACCCCCCAACGGGGCGAGGGTTAAAGCATCACATCTTTGAAGTAGGAGATAGGCAGATAACTAGGTGAAACACATTTATTTGTTATAATAATTTAATCACAACCATTGGCGAATAAGCAATTCTTTTAAATCCAGTCAGACATACATACAGTGAAATACATGCATCCGGACACATATGATACTGGCTTTTAAATGTCGGTGCAACATTTGTCAAAGTCCACCCTGCAGTGACATTTAATTCACGGAAGAGTGACGGCCAACAAAATGTTATTCCTGATTTTTCCGGTTAGATTGAGGCACACATGAACTTCACATGAACATCCGCATATGTACAATTCACACTTAAAAACTTTCGAAAAGATGTACTTTAAAAATGAGCAATCGGAACTTTTATGCCTAATGCACGGAGCGAAATGATCTCGCACATCTCTTGTTATATTTTCTTCTAATCTTAAGTGATTCATATCACCTTGTAGTCTTCTTAGGACTGCAAGGCGTCCCTATAAGCACATATACTGGGAAAGATATGCTTGTTTTACATAAAGTGGAAATCATTCTAGCTTACAACATATGCTTAGTCCCTAACTGGGTTATATGCTATTTGATGTTATGTTATGTTACATACCATACAGCTTTATGTTCTGTAATTGAGGTCCGCAATTCAGCCAAAATGGAAAAAAACGATCTTTGAACTATCTAATCAAATGGATGTAGAAAACTGGATAAGCATTAATGTTACCACTATAAGTCATTTTTATGCGTCATACTTTTTATCAATCGTAATCTTCACAAATTATGCAACCACGTTATGAAATGGACAAACGTCAAAGTCACAGCACATGTGCCGGTCACTTTTCACATTTTGTTTCGGCCTGCACGTGCGATGCTGGGGGCGCGGCGCGTGTATAAGGACCTCGCCCTACTCACCCCTAAATGTCAATTCGTCTGTCAGTTAGTGGCGCATGCCTAGTGCTGCGTAATGGCCGGGCCTCTGACGTGGCGTGGGCGGCTTCTGATTGACACACCCTCCGGATTCGGGTGAGTATATAGCGGTGAGCTGGCGCAGCCACGGCAGAGCTCTCTGAGCGCTATCAGGATGCGTCTCCTGTCGATTCTCCTGCTGCTCTGCGCGGCGGTACTCGCCGCACAAGGTAGGGGTGTAAGGACGGGTACCTATAGGGCGGAGTTCGGCGTTTTTTTTTTAGGAGATTGGACACGCCATACTGTGCGGCGGACTTGGTGTGATTTGGATTGGACTTGCGTTTGATTGTGCAGAGGCTCTGTATTTCGGTAGGGATATGGCAATCAACAGCAGCCTACCGAAGTTGAAAGTTCGTGAATCCCAAATGTGATCCGGACGAGCTGCTCGTGGCAAGTAGCCTTATTGTTGCGATACCACAACTAGTTTACAGCTGATGCTATATTGAAGCACATGAGTCCGGCATTATCGTAATATGCGTCCCGATTTTTTTTTTTTATTGAGGGGGAAAGGAACTTTCTCCGGGCTAATGATAACAAAAATCCTAAACGATATTGTTCTTCAAGGATAGCTTGTTAGGTATTGAGTGCATTGATAGCTAGCCGCACTGATATAAAAGTTTTGTGAACGTTATTAGGTCTGTCGAAAATATCTCATCCTTCTATGTAGTCCTCAGATGCCGTCATCCAGTGACTTATGTACAGCTACTTGCCAGCGCTGATTCGTGAGGACATCTTAGCTAAGAGTGTGATCTGTTTCAGCGGACATCGTCAAGTACCGGCCATGCAAGCACGTCGGCCAGTCCTGCGGATCGTACAATAAGAACGTCTGCGTGCGGTGTCCCAAGGGCGTGGGACTGTGCTGTGTCGCCCGACCAGTGCCCGGTACGTGATGACGTCCACTTCACAGCCTCCCCGGCGGTCTCACACACAGCCCCACTCAGTATGGTGACTCACTCCTTGCTCTTCCTGGATCCCTTCGAAATTTTACCTGACAGTCTTCTTTCCATCAAATTGTTAGCGTTTTTGTTACCGACCAGCGACCAGACTAATCACTTCTTAATCACTATGTGATGGACATCAGACATGAAGACCTTTTACGTCATTCGACGTCATGCAAAGTAGGTATAGGTACACAAAATTCCTGTAAGTGTAAACGCATATGTTAACTGTGCACGACAGGTTGGGTGAGTTTGACTATTCACAGTGTGAAATCTACATCATGCAGCTTTGCGCCTAATTTCGTTATTGCACCATCACAGTCTAACCGCGCATTGTTGTCACAATTCCAGTCTACCACTGCAAACATCCCGGTCAGAAATGCGGCACTGGAGTCTGCGGCAGGTGCAAGAGGAACCCCAAGCAGCTCTGCTGCAACCCCCGAATCCGACCGAGGCCCAGACCCATTAGTAAGCATGCATCAGTCCGAATTTTTATTGCTTAGGTCAAGTTTCAAACGCAGCACACGTATGACAGCAGCCTGCATTGACGGGATGTTAGCAGGAACAGTGACCTGTCACGCTCGGCCAGTGTGGGTGGGGGGTGGGGGGGGGGGACAACTCATTTTCGATCAGTAAGGCGGCATCCCCGCGCATGTTAAATATGCGAGCTCCAAGTCCTTCTTCGAGTTGCAGCTTCGATGACCAAATATTAGCGCCGTATTCCACTGAGAGTCCGCTTCTGTCAATAATAATGAAAAACAAAATAAACACAGCAGTTCACTTCACGTAACAAAAAGAAGCGAAAGGGTGCACTCTCATAGTTAAACTACGAATCTATTCAAGCTTTTTTCTGGACGGTATGCTGAATACTGACACGTACATATCATTCGTTACAGTTGAAAAGTGCACGCGCATTAATCAGAAATGCGCCTATGGAGTTTGTCGCAGGTGTCGGAAAAACCCCAAGCAACTCTGCTGTATCCGCAGGAGGCCTAGGCCCGGTAAGTACCCAGACAAAATAGTCGTTTTCACGACGGCCATCTGGTACACATTTGGTTCACATCTGGTGCAGATTAGGTGCAGATTTGGTCAAATTAGGTTCAGTGTATCTCTTAGTAGCTATCAGCTAGGGTTGCACTAATTGCTTATATGCCTGCTTTGTCATATTATCAGAGAGCATCATCGATTAAAACACTGAAATAAATTCATAAAATAAAGACATTTGCTGTAAAAGAGATTAGGTGCAGATTTGGTCAAATTAGGTGCACTCGCCGGATAGCCCGTCGTGAAAACGGCTAATGTGAACATAGATATCAATTAACCTTAATAAGTATACGCCCTTCCACAAAGTGCATAAAGAGGATCCAGTCACTATTTCAAATTTCAATAAAAATAATCTCGAACAGCTCTTCGACAGCAGAGACACAACTCGCTCAACCAAAAGTGGAAAAAGTTACCCCGGCCGCGCCGGGGTCGGCTGAAAGTTACCCCGGCCACGGCCGGGGTGGCCGGGGCAGGTTCTCCACCCATGCGCTCAACTGGTATCCTAGCAGAGAGTATGTTTTAGGGCCTTGGCAGAGAGCTTACAAGTGATACATGCACAGTTGGATGAACTAATGAGATCGACCGCTGCCCATTTCGTACAAACGAAAAACAACAGGGAATGGGGCGTATAATCAGAAACCAATGCGGAAAATATGCATCATTAATCAATTAGAGTGCACGAAGTAAATTTGAGGCTTTGGATCATGTTGTCATTTATTCATACCGTCAAATGCCGGTGTAAAAACGATGGGTTACATTCGAATACATTTCTTCCTTTCTAGCGAACCATATGTATACGACAAGAATGAAACTCGCATTTGACGGACACTGTTTTGTTTCAGTGAAGTGCACGCAAGTTGGCAAGAAATGCCGCCGAGGTGTGTGCAAAAGGTGTCGGAAGAACCCCAAACGGCTCTGCTGTGTTCGCAGGAGGAGGCCCGGTACGCAAAGAAAAACAATACAACAAACGCCTTGTATTTGAAAATAGGCAAAATATACCGAAGCGTCAGCTACAAAACTACCTTGCTCTGTTAATTAACCGCTCATTGTTATGTTTCAGTTAAGTGCTTGAAGAAAGGCCACAAATGCCGACGCGGTGTCTGCGGAAGGTGCCCGAAAAACCCCAAGAAGCTCTGCTGTATCCGCAGGCGCCGGCCACGCAGATCGCCCAGTAAATGAGCCCAGCCTATGACATAGCCTTATGGACATAGCCTTTATTTATCCCGTAAAACCACAAACAGGCACAGTTCTCGCTTTGAACTGCTGCTGAAATAGTTATAAGTTGGAAGTCTTTTTGCGACACAGTATTTTTTTTTTACAAAAAAACAAACAAATTTGTGATAATCTATTTCACTTGAATACCATTGGACACAAAGTTGCTTTTTAAAACTGACCATTCTTTTCTTGCAGTTGTAAAGTGCAAGCAGGTTGGTCGGAAATGCGCCTATGGAGTCTGTGCCAGGTGCCGGAAAAACCCCAAACAACTCTGCTGTATCCGCAGGAGGCCTAGGCCCGGTAAGGACATGCATAGGCGAACCGGTTGAAAAAGAAAACTTTTTTATTCGACTCTTCCTTTAAATCAAAATGTGTTCTCCATCAGGTGGATTGAAAATGTTCTATTCGTTTCAGTCCAGTGCAAGCGGATCGGTCAGACCTGCAGACACGGAGTCTGCGTCCGGTGCAAGAACAACCCCAAACGGATCTGCTGTCAGCGCCGCCGGCGACGGAGGTCACTCGGTAAAACACAATGACCTAGCTCCTCTAAAAAATAAAAATGGGATAAAAAATAAAATAAAATAAAATATAATAAAATAAAATAAAATAAAATAAAATAAAATAAAAAACAACATAAAATTATGTTAAGAAATACGTAACTAAAGAGCGCACTCCTTCAAAGAAACAAAAGCAATCAGTGAGTTTTTATATTGTACTAATCAAGTGGTAGCTCGGCGATAAATCGATAAATCGATAAATAGTGTCGTGGTAGAGCGGATCACACTAAACGTCGATGTGTCTGTAACGCCACACATTTCCGCACTGTAGCTGAGCTGTCTATGTTCCGTTGAGGTTTGCTGTCAGTTGAAGGCCACCTCATGGACAATATGTATAAATCGTGTGCAGTGTAGGTACTATGTAGGCATTACTGTTGAAGTGTTGACATGCTAATATAACGTGCGATGAAATAAAATAAAAGGCTAAATACAAAACCAATTTAAAAGTCAATGATAAAACATAATATTATTAATATTTAATCATAATAGCTCCTCCCATCCAGCGTTTGTGCCCATATAGGTAGTGCAACAACTGCTACCAATGAACACTGCTGAATGGATCCAAAACCAAACTAAGCCACCGGTTCTGGTTTCAGCCCAGTGCAAGAAGAGATGTAGAGGTTACGACAGGTACTGCACCCGTCGCGGGTGTCCCAGAGGGTACAAGGGCGGCTACTGCTGCCGCCGGCGGGTCCGTCCCAGCACACTGAGTGAGTGACATAGTGGTCCACACTGTGCACCACCATTGACTAACTTAAAGAGGCTCTAAAAAATCACAACGCTATTGATGCCATTCTTATCATGATGTTTAATCTAGGTCAAAACATTGGAGGCAGTGTGCTAAAAGAAAACGTATAAGCATGAAAGATCACTGCGAGGAATGTATCCTGCTAATTGAATGCACTTATTGCTGAGACCGAACCAAAGACCTCTTTACAGGTCACCTTCAGCTCGTTTCTCCCAGACAGTTCACTTTTCGTCCTTTCTGACGTTTGTTGTCTCCCGCCTCAGAGCAATGCAAGGCTAGGTGTCGGGGCCGCTACCAGTACTGCAGCACGTCCGGATGCAGGAAGGGCTACAAGGGCTACTGCTGCCGCACGCGTCGCAACATCTCCATCCGTGAGTCTTTTTAAACATATACCTACCTATTGTCTATTGACCTTATTATTTTTTACCAAACACATTCTTGGAGTGCATTAAAGATGCATATAAAAGCCAGCCGGAAAATTTTATCAGCTTTCAACTAACTCATGTGTCAATACATATATCGCTAAGATTTATTTCCTTTTGAACAAAATCCTAAGCTGTGCGATCGCCGATCCTAAACAATAAACAGCCATTAGCCGAGCTGGATCTTAGAAGACGATGCACACAGTATGTACCTTTCCTCTGACATTCTCGTCTGCTTGGCTTATCCACATGCGTGATGGATGTCATAGATGTTATGTTCCACCTTTCTGATTCCCTCTTCTCGATTCCAGATGAGTGCCAGAAGACCTGCAGAGCTGGAAGCTACTGCACGACTAAATGCCCTAAGCACATCAGGGGCTACTGCTGTGTGCCCAAGTACTACAAGGGCTAAAGTCACCGTTAACAGCACCACCAGCTCATCGAAGGCCGGATATCCAGGGAGGTGTCCGACAAACCTCGATGATGATGCAAAAAGGAGCCGTCCGACGTGCTTTTAATTGAAAGTGTGTTAAAAAAGGTACTTTCCATCGTCATAAATTGCGAAGTTCTTTTGAAATACATACGGCAATACATGAGCAAAGCAAGGCACGCAAGAGTTTTTCTGTTTGGTGTTCCATCAAATCACCATGTTTTTCGTTTAAAAAATACCCAAGATACGTAACATATCGTTACTAAACCAGTGAACATAAGGATTTAGATATGGGTGTAACGAAGGAGCATAAGGCCAAACCGCAATGTTATTTCAACGAGTACTACTTGATTAAGCTACAACGTGAAGCAGCGCAGCTTCCTCGAAAAAGGTGAAATGGATCAGGATCACAGGAAACCGAAACCCAATCAAAGGCGCATGAGAAGTAGTAGGTGATATACATGCATCATTACATGCAATGCACGATTGAGTCGAAATAAAAATCACTTACATTACAAGCATCATATAACCTCGTATACGCATCATATAACCTTGACCTGTCAGCCACCACTTAGAGAAGCCTGGCCAGCTGATGTTCTTTAAAACATATAACAAAGCGCAAGTATGTGAATTGTGAGGCGTTTGCTCAGTGCTCAATATTTCAGTGACAGTCACACAAACAAGGCTATTACACAAAGCTCGACCGCCGACCCGTTCTGATAACTCCACACTGTGGCACTGGCGACATCTATAACTGCAAAAATAGCACAGTTCCAGTACAGATGACAGCACAAGCCAAGCACTGCCCCTGTGCTGACCCTCTACAAAACAGGTTATGGTTGGTCTTGTGGAATGCGATGGCATGTTTTGTTTTAGCACCCTGCACGCCCAGCATTTCAACTCGGTACAGCTGAATGGTTTTCAGGTTCGCTTTAGAAGAGGATGAAACTCGAACAATCAGATGTAGTTAGCAGTGAACTTCAGTGGTTCACTACACTACCAGTTACCCTGCCGCCATGAATAACTATTGACCATCTACACGTTTGCTTATAAAAATCAAACTGAAAACGTCAGTGAGTGGATGGTGGTTTTATGGGCGGAACTGATGTAGCTTTACATATTCTACAAAACTCAGCTACCAAACGCTATAGATCAAAAATCAGATTATCTTGATGACAGAGGCCAATGGGTCCACTCGGCTCGGAGAAAGCCATCTGCCATGGTTGAAGACTTAAAAAATAGCGGCAGCACCTTACTGCTTGTATACAAATACGTGAATGCCCACATGAGGTAAAAAACGTGATATGTGTACATCAACCACTGATTGGAGATGTACAGAAGACGGTGAGAACTACATAACTGCCAACTGTTAACGGTTAAAAGGTGTACATATAGGTAACTGTTTGCCAACTTTCAGCTGTATGTACCGAGCCGAGCGCGTTAAAATGACTTCGAAATGCGATGCAATTTGCAGAAAATGCACGGCATGCCACCTGGGGTATATGCATGTATGATGTAAACATGACTTGGCAGCAAGTAGCAACGCCCCGGCGCGGCTCAGATCGCTGGCCAGATCATAAACTTGTTCAACATGCAATAAGTCAAACTTGTTCTGGTAAGAAGTTGATTTTGTTTGGCATGCAGAACGGTCAGCAACTAGGTGAAAAATGGGTTCGAGTATAAAATAAGCCGTCAGATAGACACGATTGTCGAGTGGGTAAAAAAAAAAACGATAAATAAGTGAGAGTGAATGTCGTGAACGAAGTGAAGTATAATTAGTTTTCGGATTATTCTCTGGGATAATAATATCTAACTGGCAGAAGTCCATATATTTCGGATGATGTTGCTCAATGCTCACCCTTGGTCACTGGACAAAACATAAAAAACAATTACATATATGAAAAAACGAAGTGAAGCTAGTTGAGGGTATGCATATGAATACCTAGATGAAAATAAGTGATTGAGTGAAGGCGTGGCCGAATTGAACCTCAGCTGAACCGCAGAGAAAAGGGTGGATATATGACAAGCAATGGGGTGAGAGAAATACTGGCTAGGTGAATAAGTGAGCAGGTCAAAGAAGGAGCTGGCGAATGAGTGTGCAAAATAACTGATGACATCAAGTGAGCGAATAAGTGGCTGAATCAATTAATGAGTGAGTAAGTGAGTGAGTGAGTTAGTTAGTGAGTGAGTAAGTGAGTGAGTGAGTGAGTGAGTGAAAGATTGAGTGAGTGAGTGCCTGAGTGAAAGTGAGTTAGTGTGGGAACGAATGAGTGAATAAATGAAGGTTCAAATTTTCCAAAAAGACATGTTGTGACATACCTACCAGTAAAACGTCCGAAATCAGAAGGAATAAAGGGAGCAGTTGTAAATGTGCTTATTCGAACTATACGATTTTGACCTCGAACCGAACGATGCCTCGATGTTTTGTATTACTGTTTTTTAAGTGTTTGTTGTGTGACTTGGCTGAAGAAGGGAGCCGAAGTGCTCTTGAAAGTTTCCGTTTAAATAATAAAGCTGGTGTCAAAATAACGTTTTATACACGGAGAACAGGACGGTAAGAACCAAGGCCGTATATCAGACAGGCAGAAAATCACTGGCGGAGACAGCGCGGCGCCGTCTTTACCAAACCGGCCTCTGACTTCAGCGGCCTCCTGACCCATCCAATGTCACCGTATCTCCATAATGGAGAGAGCCCCGTCCCCGTCCCTAGGGTCGCTTCCCCTCCCACATTCCAGAGCCCATCCGGTCCCCGGCCGACCCCTCTCGACCCTCCCCATCCCCCTGGCCGGCCCCCGACGACCGTCCCTGTCATTACGTCCCGACCTGTCCGTCCGTCACCGCCGGACCTGTCACTGCGCCGCTCGCTAACATTAGACTCCGCCAATGGGTCAAGGTGTGCGGCTCAGGTGCGGGCCGGTGCCGGCCGGTGCGCCGTCTGGAGACTGCGACGCCGACAGTGGTCGCTAGCCGGCTCCGTGGGGCAGCCGCGGTGCGGGCGAGGTGCAAAAATGCGGCCCCGGTGGCTGTGGCTGCTGTGTGCGCTGTGGGGGGCGGTGTGCCCCGAACACTCGCCCATCTACGTGGACAATCACAAGGGTCAGACGGTGGCTGGAGAAGAGATATCCGATGTGGACCGAGCGGAGATCCAGGAGGACCTGCTGCTGCTGCTAGGGCTGCACCGGCGGCCGCGGCCCGCCTTCCAGGAGGTGCAGAGCTCGGCGCCCCAGTTCCTCATGGACATCTACAACAGCATGGTCGACGACGAGGACACAGGTGAGGAGTCCAGTGGTCCTCAGGTGAAGAGTCTCAGACTCTCAGCGGTCCTCAGAAGAGGAGTCTCAGACTCTCAGCGTTCCTCAGGTGAGGACTCGCAGCCATGCTGTGGTGAGGACGGGTCTCAGCCGACAGCCGTCCTGTGGCCACTGGCAGGTCCAGGGCCACGCGGGGTCATGAAGTAGGTAGTGGGTACCCTGTGCGTGACTCGATCTGATGGTCTGTCAGTGCAGCACGCGAACTTGAACTACATCCACTTTCTGCGGCCTGCCAGCAGTCAGTTCCATGAAATGTCACCCCTCAAGCACGTGAAAATGCCGGACGACGATTCTCATTTCTATGGGCGTAGGAAACTCACAAAAAGTGTGTGTGGGGGGGGGGGGGAAGGGAGGGCAGCGAAACTTCAATGTCACTTCGTGGAAGCCCCAATACCCTATGAAGAAATTCGTTGCAGTTTTTCGCTCATCTCACCTTGCTGAACCGTTTCCTGCTCTTAGTTTTGTATTTAAATCAAAAATAAAGATTTTTCTTAGAAAAATGGCTGAAAACTGGAGGGGGGTATGACCCCCGGTCCCCCTGTTCCTAGCCTATGCTCAACGGCACGGCCAGTAACCCATATCGAACTAAAAGTCAAAAGCATTGGGAGAGGCCGCGTGCTTTAGAAATCGCTACAGACCTTCACCAATATTTTTGGCGCTCCTACCCCCATGATCACATATATTCCGGTTTTTTCGAAATTCAAATTTTTTTGGATTTTTCGGCTATTATATTTATACAATCTATTTTTTTATTTCTGGGGGCAAAATCCCAAAATTTCGAAAATCCGAAATAGCAGTTTGTAGCCCTTTGATTCTACATATCTTATGGCTGAAACATTTTTTCTGTATCTCTAAAACTGTAGGCCTGAGAGCTCTTCCCGCGAAACCTTTTTTGGGTCGAAAATGACAGAAATGACGTCACTCTGACGTCATTAGTGGCCAACCTATCATAGCCTTTGGAAACTTTTTGGTCACAATGTGCAAAAGCTATTCACGGGGGGTACCGAAAGTTTGGTGACGATCGGCGCAGCGGTTCTGGAGATATATATCGGAAAAACTAAAGGGGGGCAAAAAAAATGTCCCCCCCCCCACCGCCTGGAAGGTTAACCCTCGCTCGTATAGGGGGTTTGAATGGACCCCCTCGGTTTTTCGTGAATGACTCGCGTAAAAAGCGGCCGATCGCGACACTTTTCAGTACCCTCGAGATGATCAATTTTACACCCACCCTGAAAATTTCATGACCCTGACCCAAATAACCTTTGACCTGTGACCTACTTTTTGAGACCATGTTTGGCCGGAATCGCGATTGGGCGTATGTTGGCTCGCATTAGCCGCGCTTTTGCAGTCTTTTCGTGGTTTGAAACCACGAAACATGTGAAATGATGTTGGTCCCATGCATTAGGGTGGGTGTCAAGGTCACCTGAAGGTCAGGTCAGGTCAGTGACCTTTGATGACCTCGGTTCATTTTTCGAGTTTTACATGTTGCTAGGCCAGTTTTTGGAGCTGATTTCGAATTTATGAACATTTACGAGTAGTTGTGGTGCCTTCGTAAGATGTTACGAAGCCTTCAGAGGCGGTTGACACCTACTACGAATACCCGGCAGGACCCCTACTGGTTGACCTGACCTGACCTGACCCGACCTGGCCTAAATGCATGAATACATCATCTGTGCTCAAAACTTATATGATATTCGTGATCAGCACCCCGAAATACCCCATAGCAGCCACACTTTGCGACGTTCTAACTTTTAACAGGTCCCGATTTTCCCACTTTTGGGTCATTGACCTGACCTAGAAGGTCAGCCAATGACCTAGGACCTTAAAATTCGTCATTCGTCATCGTCACGGGCAACACGCTCGCTGTTTCCGCAAAGCTCTAGCTCGATCAGGGGCGAAACGGCAAGGGGGTCCAACGGACCCCCCCCCCCCCATACGTTCGCGGCTGGAAAAACACCAATTACGGGCGAGGGTTAAAGTGTGTCAGGTCTCGATCACGCTACATTCAGAAATACACCTTTTCACGGCCAAATATGGAAATAACCAAATATAGTTAGTGCACACAGTTCAGAAACAGTGCAAGCGATTTCGACGGTTGGGCATAGTGCACTGCTAATTCGGCCGAATGCATGATATTCAGTAATAGTGCACACGTTTCCAAACAGAGCAATCAATTTAGAAGATAGTGCGTTTAAATTCAGTGGACCGTAGGCTCAATTTCGCCAGAGTGCACGGTTTTGTCATGTGACATGATATTTGGCGTCCCGCAAAGCAATTTAGGCGATGTTCAAGTGAATTCTCTGCTGGATTGGGAAAATATTTTGAAAGCCCCCTATCGGTGTGTCAAGAGCAGCACGAAACCTGGTCAAAGAGCTGCCGAAATGCAGCCTAAGCTCTCAGGAATTTATCTTATCGTAAATCTCACTCAAGAACTCGGTGACACGGTCACGTGGCATTCAGGGCTTCTGAATCGGCTCCATAACTTCGTTGCTGGTTCAAAAAGATCAGGAATGCTATAGATTTTTGTTATCGCCTTTCAGTATCGTGGGGAATTTAACTGAGCGAAGCCGAAACACAGGGTTTGGTGTTTGTTTAATTTTTCAAATAAACAAACATAAACAAACTGTTCACGAACAAATGTGTTCGCGAACAAGTGACGTCATCGGTCAAATTTTGGTAAACAAACAACGAACAGTTCGCGAACGTTCATGAACTGTTCGCGAACACGGTAAAGAGGGGGTAGATAAGACCCCCTCCTTAGCCATTTCGCTCCTAATTGAGATAGAACCTTGCGGAAAAAGCCAGCGTGTGCGTCAGTACGAACCACAGCGATTGGCATCCGATTTCAAGGTCTTACACCAACCGATGACCCCTGAGGTCAGGTCAAGTGTCACAAAGTATGGGTTTGGTTTTTGGTAAATAACTTCTCCACAAATAGTGGCAGAGCCGCGATTGTGGCACCATCGTGCTCGTCGTGGCCAGGCGCTTCGAATGATATACTTTTTGTTTGGATTAGGTCTTTTTAGGATGTTGCCCTCAGGTCAAGGCCAGGTCAAAGCCCCTCGGGTCACAAAGCTCCATGAAGGATGTCATGCTGCATATCAATCGATTTGGCAGTTCTTTCTGAGTCCATTGAAGGCTCAACCGACTCGCTAGCTCAATTTGATCGGAAGTTATTAGCGAAAAGCTCCTACTGCACCTAACAACCTTATTGGCGTCCTATATGACGTCATGCAAGGTCTGAAATGCACAATTTAAGCCTCAGCGTTGCAAGAATAATTATGAATCACGATTCCCTGTGCTTGAGATATGACTGGTGCATTTTTCGCATGTAAAACATGCCTGCAGTCATGTCTGCACCGTATGATAACAATTGCTCGAAAGATATCAGAAATGATGACTTGTTCATGAACGTTCACGAACGTTCACGAACTGTTCGTGAACAGAGAATGGTTGGTGAACATATGACCTTGAATGCCAAAATTCGTAAACTATCAGATAAACAAACAAACATTGTTCACGAACTGTTCATGAACAAATATACAAACACCAAACCCTGCGAAACAATACCTATTGCTCACGCCGAACTTTAAAGCACCCGACCAATAATGTGCACTATGTGTTACCTATATGTTTGAAACCATATGAAACATCAAATACCCTCTACCTTTTGCATCAAGAACAGTGCAGCTGGTTATGTGACTTTTTTTGCGTCGCTGACCGTCTACGAATGCCATTGGAGGCTTAGGTAGCGTGAAATGTCTAAAAATGTTATTGCTTATTAATGCAATGCCGGACGTACCGAACAGTGCCTAAATTACATACATGCAGCACCCCGAAATTGAAACGACCTGACGAATAATGTGCACTATGTCTAATATGCCTGAATTTGGGCCACTTTTACCTGCACTACCGCGAAATGGTGCCGCGATTCAATATACGAATGCACTATGCCGTAATGTCGAAATCGCCTGCTCTATTACTGAAATATGTGCACTGCCGCCTGAATTGGGCGTAAAAAGGTGCAGAACTTCTGTTTGTGTTTGCCTGGTTAGTGCACCAGAAATCAGTCTCGAATCGGTCACGGTCTCTGTATGGGCGTCGATGTCGCTGTCACACTGTCGTCTCGTCCCACGCCATTGTCTCGGACCCAGGAGTTTGTCTCGGTTCCATTATGTGTCAGTTTTTGTTGTGGTGCTGGCCAGGCCTGGCCCTTCGCCAAGACTAAGGACGCTCATGACTGAGCCACGAACTAACAGTTCACCCACCGACCGCCAGGTGACCTCAAGCTGGACCCAGAGGGCGTCGGCAGTGCCTGGAAGGACTTCAACATCACCACTGTCGACAAACAGGTCATCGACGAGAGCGACCTCATCATGAGCTTCATCAACCACGGCAGCAAGCTGTTCAAGGAGCTGGAGCTGCCGCGGAGCCAGCTGCTCTGGTCAGTCCGTCGGCGGGTCAACGCCCTTAGAAAACAAATCAGCCGTTCCAGAACGGCTGCTCAGTGCACAGCGTTGTTCCACTTCAGATCAATTTGAACCTGAGAGCATCCGGTTCTATCCTCAGGACCAACCATCTTACGATGGTTTGGGATTATACGGCGTTCAGAACTCAGCGCAGACATGATATAACGCTTAGGTACACCAAAATCATACGTTCAGCCCATCGATCGGATGCACGATTCAACCATCCATGGTGGTTTACTTGTAAAACTTTTGAATCACTTTCAAGCATATGAATTTCGATGAGCAAAGATATCTCTTCATGTGTACCGTACGCACCTTTAAACAAACGACCCCTCAAGCCCTCAGTGTGACCTGGGCCTCGTTTCATAAAGCGAGTCCGTAACTTACGCTAGTTTTTGGGCTTGTATTGCAAGTGCATGTTAAACGATAAACTTATTTCACCTTCTCCCTTCTGTTCTTGCTTGCAAGATAAATAAATTCAACGATTCAAACTGTCGTCATATTCGCTTCACATGCACTTGCAATACAAGACCAAAAACCGGCGTAAGTTACGGACTCGCTTCATGAAACGAGGCCCTGATCGCAGCTTGTCTTTGTCCAGGTTCGACCTAACTGAGGTACCGATGGACGAAAACCAGCTGGACACCAGTCTACGGGTGTACCAGGGGTACGCCGAGGACGCCCTGTTCGACTACCAATCGGTGACGCTCAGGATATTCCAGCTGATCGGAGGTGAGCGGACGATTGTCGTCGTTGTTGTCGTCGTCGTCGGCGCCGCCGTCGTTGTTGTTGTTGTCTTTGTAGTTGTTGCTACTGCTGCTGTTGTGTTTGCATACGTTATTCTTAACTCTAACTCTTCACTCTTCACTTCACTCTTCACTCACTCCTAGTTGATGGCATGTAGACGTGGAACGGGTTGCATAAAATAAACATGTGTTAGGCTAACAACTGAAGGAAGGGCAAAATGCCCGACCCGTACAATGGCATTGGCTATTTATAGTAGCAGTTGGTACGTACGTTCCGAGGATGCGGAAGGGTGCTATGCTAGTGTCTTGGCCGCCGGCCGGTATTCGCTAGGTTAGCGACATAGCACCTGCCGGGTGTAGGCTGCTCGGTACTCAACATCCCATATCACCATTTTTCAACGACTCAAATTTATGTTCAACAAAATCTTACCACTGAAAGTGGAGCTGGCGAAGAATGGTAGGTGGCGCCCAGCCAGCAATCCCACTCCGTTCCCGATCGGGATTTTTGGACTCAGCCCGCACCACCCCGATCGGGACCGGAGTGGGACGGGATTGGGAAATGAGACACTTTGTACGGGCTGGAACGGTCCGGATATCCCAACCTATCCCGCACGGCCGGTTGGGAGATCCCGCACGTATCCGGACCGCCTTATGACGTTTTAACAAGCGCTGAACTCCGATCCCGATCGGGATTCCCCAAATCTCCCCGTACAACCGGTTCGAAAATCCCGCACGCATCCGGACCGCCTTATGGCATTTTAACCCTAGAACGCCTAGGGGGGGGGGTTGTATCAACCCCCCCTGAGGTTTTTTCGAAGTGCACGCTAAACGGCTTGTCGTAGCGGGCTGAAATTTTCAATACCCTCTGGGGCAACCTTTGCGCATCTTTTGCCGAAAAAAAATTGATCGGGTCATGTCAGGTCACGGAGTTATGACGTCATAAAGGGAACAACCTCCGGCCAGATTTACGCTAAATTGGAGATTGCTTCACATTGGTATAAATGCCGACTGACCTGACACACTGATGGATTGTTTTAGAACCATAACTGGCTGATTTGACATTGGCACAATGTCCGTTGACCTTTTCAAGGTTACTAAAGGTCAAGGTCAGGTCAGTGACCTCGGTTGACCTGTAATGACTTCTTGCACTTGTATGCCTTTTCGGGGTATTTTGATGCCCTGAATTCGAATTTGCTATCCATTTCAGGCATCGTCGGTTGTTTCTTGTAGTTCATTTTGGGTCAGGGTCAGGTCAGTGACGTCACACGCCTGACGTGACCCAATGCACAAATGACCTTGCAGACTTCCGATGCTCCCAACGCATCATTTTTAGAGTTATGACATCGAAATACGCACCAAACGATAGAGAATTGATCAAGGATCACGATAGTGAAAGTTTCAAGTCGATATCTCTTACCGTTTTGCCGCAATCGGCGCGGAAATCTGAAAAAGTTAGATTTTTCCGAAAATTTGACCTTTGACCGGTCATAAGTAGGTCAAATGTTGACCTAGGACCAAAAAATATACCACCAATCGCGAGATCTCGTTGAGAGCAATCCGTTGGTTTTTTCCGCTAAGCTCTACGACCTTCCGTTTCGAAACGCCAGGGGGGGGGGGGGTCGTAACAACCCCCCCCCCTGGTCGTTCGTGTTATGAGAAATGGCCTGGTCGTGCGAGGGTTAACAAGCGATGAACTCCGATCCCGATCGGGATGTCCCAACTCGGCCCGCACGGCCGGTTTGGGAATACCGCAGGCATCTGACATATTAACCGCAGTCTTATAACCCCAGATTGTTGTTATGCAGATGCGACCACTTTGCTTGCGCCACCGCAACCCCCTCGCCTCTTCATTATTCTCCAACTCAACCTTTATAATGCCTGCACGACAAAATGAATTACATTGGACACTGAAATATATTCACAAATTTACTGGTTGCACACAGGTCAAATTTTCACAAATTCACAGCCTGGCCAGCACATTCGTGGCGTCGGCCATCATCTTAGCGCCGCTGCAAGGCGCTGGCACAGCGGACTCACTTCCGGTGTTCACAGTCATTATAGCAGGCCTGCGCCTTGTTCGTGTCGGCTCCTCTGCGGACAGTGTGTCCGTCTGCCGTCACGAGCTTCAGAGAGCCACCGCGAAACTAGACGGTTGGCATCTGGTCGGGCGGTTCACCACTGTGCGAAGAGAGCATCTGAAAATGACCAAGAGGTTATTAATCAAAGTCTGGGACACACTAAAAATCACTAAGAAATAACCCACATCTGACATTTCACATGGTATGCCTGGTAATTCAGGTTTCAAACCTACAATGCAACCATTAACGACACTTGACAATGAGACCAAACATCTTCTGTCCATGATAACTGATCAAACATGCGACAGCACGAGTGTAGTTCACATGCCGTACAACCACAACGAACATAACAATTTCTATTACCTATAGCTTTCCCGCTCCCTACATCACGGATGAAGTGTGCACTATACTCACCCTGTTCTCAAATACGGACTGATTTCTCTGCAACGACAACAGTTGAACCGACCGCTTGCTAGAGCCAGTTCAAAAGCAATATCCTGAGGCAGCAGCTCAAAGGAGGGATCGACACTTGACCAACGCGGCAGCTAGACTGGCCGCTGCGCTCAGAGGACGCGTCTGCCTGCACGCGGCCCATCTGATTGCTTTTCCAGGCTTTCTGGGCCACCGGATATGGTGCCCGAAGCGCCTTCTCAGATCGGTTGGGATAACAACGTAAATCACAAGCCTGTCTAAACATTGGATTCGATTGGGCTATCCGTACCGCGTCCCAACCGATTAAGCATGCGGTCCGGAAATCCCGAGTCGCCCCTACCGCCGGCCATCGAGGTCCGGTATCGATTGGGACAACCCAAGCCTACCCAACCCTGTAGGGACAAGTCGGGACATCCGGAGCCTATCCCGACCGTCCCCAACCGCATCCCGGACGAATTGCTGGCTGGGCGGGTCCTTGGCGGGCATCGAGAACCACAGCCAGCAGCTCAATTATTCAGACTTAGTTTCTGATACACAATTCAGAAAAAATAGCCACTAGGAGACCATTGCATTTTTTTCTCCAGCATGTACAAAGGCACAGGTCTCACGGGTTTTAGCGGTAGGTTTTGCACCTAGAAAATTTAGTGTACGTACTTCAGACTGTATCTTCTCGTCTTAAGCTTTTAAGTGTTGAAGATGCGATCGACTTGTTGGTTCATAAGCCGGCCTTGATCGCGTAAAATGGCTTCATCGTAGATCGATTAGTTTCTGAGATATGACCGAAAATGTAAAGGTGCAAAACCTACCGCTTAACCTCGCGAGAGCCGTACGTGTCTTTGATTAAAAGCATTTATCCTTGAAGCGAACCGTATTCAAAGGACAAATGTTCTGCCCTGTAAAACATAATATTTGCTTTAGAATCACCTACTGTGCGTCATCCATTATCATTTCTTATTGTTAGCGTCGTTTCAAAGTGCCTTTGGAATTGTGAACGTATGTACATTACACAAAAGCTCATATAATATTCAGTATGTGCCTTGCAACTTGCCCAATTCTGCCGACACGGCAGTAGACCAAACACGCTGGTAGTTGAGCGCCTCTGACCTTGCTGGTTCTAGTCTATTGACGCACACTTACCAAACAATGGCTAAAATCAACAAAGGACGGAATAATACCGGCACAATTTTAGATGAAATAATTCCGAATTGCGGTTTCTGATGACATTTTCTTCTGACATTACTTTATGTGCAGGCACAAATACAGCAATTTTTGTTGTTTAATCGCATTGGCTTTTAATCACAAGATACCGTAGGCGACAGGTGCAACTTGCAGCGTTATTCCTGACAAAGTGATCGGCACATCTGTCTGTCTGGCCTGTTAGGTTCGTATGCGTAATGCAACATTTCATAAGGCTCTACATTGAGTGCATGTTTGAGGTGCCGATATATCGACCTCTCACCGCGCGGGTTATATTTATCAGATTTTCTGCCTGTCTGCCTAATTGAATGATTGACTTCATCCGTCTATCTCCGCTGTCTGTATTTATTTAGTTGAACATAACCTGATTATCTACCTTCCACCCAGTATATGTCTGTCTAACGCCGTGCACCTCCGCCCAGGCGAGGGCGAGACGCGCCCGGACGACATCCAGCTGAAGGAGGTGGGCGCCAGGGTGCTGGAGCCCGGCTACGTCGGCTGGCTGACGTTCAACGTGTCCAGCGCCGCAGACCTGTGGCGCATGTTCCCCCACTCCAACCTCGGTCTCTTCATGGAGGTCAGTGCTGCAGGCCGATCTTACAATTACAAATATATAGGTACACAAAGTGGATTGGGAAGGGTCTCGCTGAGGGATAGCTATTCAGCAATAAATGGGTATTGATATGACTCTTTCCGACGACAGCAGATCAGTCGCTAGTTGATTGGCAGGACTCGCCGTCCGTTTAGTGCCTGATCCATGGTACGGATTAGCCTCAGGCACAGCCTGAAGCTATAGCACAACCGGGACTTGGCCAAAAATGGCTCCTCTGAGAAGACACACGGAACCGCCTTAGTCTGAAGCTTGACGCTGACGCCCCTTCAGTGCGCCTCTGCAATTGAGTTGAGTGTCAATCAAATAATATGGCAGAAGACGTACAGATGAGAAACAAGATGAATGGTATTTTTATCGAGGGCTCTTTGTAGCGATCCGGCTAAGGCCGGCTTGTGGCTTTTTCGCGGTGGTATGGTATTACCATTGCGAGAACAACTAGGATCTGCTGGATGATCCTCGATAATGGCAGTGACGATGCTGCTGCCTGAACTCGGGGAAATTCCAGATGGGCCACGCAGGAGAACGAATTAATGTGCGGGTATTCGAGCATAAAATTCTGAATCTTCCACCAACGATTATAAGACCCTGCCGGCTAACGACCTCAGCGACCTTTAAAAATTAAAATAATTAATTTGACCTCATCCTCCCAAAACGCTTCGTTGAACCAAGCACAGGTAATATGCAATGCAAAAAAAACTGTAATTACTAGTCCCCACTAAAATCTAAAACATAGCCTTATGCTAATGAATTAAACAAAAAAAAAAGATGAAGAGAGATCACTTCAGTGACGATCATCAGCTATGCTGAATTCTACAAAATGCTTATCATGTTTTTAAAACAGGCAAGTTGCTGAGTGCTGACCTTTACCAACAGCTTAGCTGTTCTGTATACGGTGTCCAGCTTCCACAATCGTCCGTGAACGAAGATGTTTACAGACACTTAAAGCTGCAAAGCCGTCTCGCTTTATGACCTTTGGTGACCTCTGTTGAGCTGGGTGTCTCCGGATGATCCCCGAGGGCCCTAGCCTCTAACACCTCTCATCTGACCTTTGCTAGCCTCTGGTGACCTAGGTGTCCCCAGGCGAGCTCCAAGGACTCTAACGTGTCTCATCTGACCTCAGCTGACCTCTGGTGACCCATGTGTCCCCAGGTAACCTCCGAGGGCCCTAACGCCTCTCATCCGACCTCTGTTGACCCGGATGTCCCCAGGTGACCTCCGAGGGCGGAGAGCAGCTGGTACCGGGTCAGGTCGGACTGGTGGACGCCTACGGAGAGCAGGCGCGCCAGCCGTTCATGACTGCGTTCTTCAAGCAGCAGCAGTTGAAGCGTCCGCTGCCGCGTCTCTCCCGCTTCAAACGGTCCCCGAACGGAAAACGGTCAGTACTGGGAGCGCCCTTGAGTCGGTCAGGCGGTGAAGAAACGGGCTGATTGGTCCATTAACACTCGTCAGGCCAGTCCCTTTTCAATAATGCGACCGGCCAGCATTGACCAGCTCAGGTAAGGCCAGCATGTTGGTATGATTAGTGCAGCAGTCGGCACGCCCAAAAACCCCAATAAACAAACAATGCATCAACCCCCGTCTGCGGCTTTTCAGGGGCAAGAAGAAGCGCAATCGCAGCAACTCCCAGACGAGTTCGTCCAGTCTGAAGGACTACATACAAAAACAGGAGTTCAGCGTCTGCCAGAAACGCAACCTGTACGTCAGCTTCCGGGACCTCGGCTGGCAGGACTGGATCATTGCACCCGACGGGTAAGTGGTATTGGTCATGTTGGCTATGAAAGTTTATTTTACATATTCACATGCATCCTAATCTTTATCAGAAAACATTTTAGCGAGTCAATACATCGGAATTCTTGCTAAGAAAAAAATGTCGCTGAAACCTAACATTCTTATTACTATTGCGCGTTGAGCTTGTCAAAGTAAAAATTATCAGTAGGGCTAAACGGATACGGACTGTATGCATGGTCTGCTCTTCCATACCTAGGCAGTTTTACCTTCCAGGCGGTGGGGGGGGGGGCATTTTTTTGCCCCCCTTTAGTTTTTTCGATATATCTCGAGAACCGCTGCGCCGATCGTCACCAAACTTTCGGTACCCTCCCGGGAGCAGCTAGCGCACATGGTGACCAAAAATTTTTCCAAAGGCTATGATAGGTTGGCCGCTAATGACGTCAGAGTGACGTCATTTTTGCCATTTTCGACCCAAAAAAAGGTTTCGCGGGAAGAGCTGTCGGGCCTACAGCTTTAGAGGTATAGAAAAATGTTTCAGACATAAAAGGTGTAGAATCAAAAGGGCTACAAAACTGCTATTTCGGTTTTTCGATTTTTTTGGATTTTGACCCCCAAAAATCAAAAAATAGATTTTTTGAATATAATAGCCAAAAAATCCAAAAAGTTTTTTGAATTTCGAAAAAAAAAACGGAATATATGTGATAGCCCCTACCGCCTTCTACCTACATACCAAATTTGAGATCGATACCTCTTTTTTTAGCCAAGTTATAGCGAAAAACTGTTCAAAATTGATGACGTCAAATTTTCAAACTCAATTTTTAGCAATTCTAGACCTCGTAGCGCAAAACAAAGACCACCATTAGACTCCCCGTGGCAAGCTGCATCGAATCGATACCCATTTTATGCAAAAATATCAACTTTGAAATTTGACCTTTTTTGACCTGACCTTGACCTGACCTCCACCAGAAAGTGACCTAAACCGTACCTGATGGTCTTATAACCAACACCATTGAGTTGGAAATGAAAAACTGGCCATAAAACATGCATCGCATAACCTTAGTAAAGTTGGGCTCATGTGGTGACCCTTGGTGACCTTTGGTGACCTGACCTGTGACCTGACCTTGTATGAACAGTGACCTCTAATAGCAACATATATACTAGACAACTGACGCCTTATCGCTGATTTTCGACAAAATGCGTTTTACTCGGTGTTATAGCGCTTTCCCTAGAAGCCCCGTGAACGGTGAAACATTTTATCTTTGACCTGACCTGTGACGTCATCGGTGACCCCGAGGTCAATGAAATTTGGTTTCCCTCAACAAATTTGACAGGGCTATCGAACGCCGTTTGAATTTTCCGGATCCGTCCAGTAGTTTCGGAGATACGGGGGGGGGGCAAAAAAGTGCCCCCCCCCCACACCGCGCGGAAGTTGGCTGGTAGGCCCACCGCCTGCCGGGTTAAGCGTGCTAGTAATTTTAATTAGCGTTCATGTTACTGGACTACTTACATACGAAGTCAGGGGTAAACCTTGTTGCCGTGCGTTTAGCCGCTTTAATTTCTCATCCGGCGAAACTTGTAATCTAATGAAAGTCCTGAGGCACTGTGGGTACCTGAGATTATCACCATGTCGTCGGTATTTAATTACGCTGCGTACCTCCGGGTCTGCGACCTTCAGGCAACTCAAAAAGCTGTCCGGCCGCAGCTGGGGCCTGGAAGAGCGCCAGCTCCGTGTGGTGGCCCAGGGGTACATCCGTGGGGCCATGGAGCACGCGGCAGCAGCGTGGCTCCCGGCGACGCCCCCCTCGCACGTGGAGCTGTTGGAGAGAGAGATGAGGGCGGTGGCGCGTATCATCGCCGCATGCCCAATCTCCACTCCGGCCCACGCGGTGATGGCGGAAGCGGGCCTAGTGCCAGTCGCAGCTAGAAGGGAGTCCCTAGCGGCGAGATTCCTGGCCAAAGCACTGGCTCTACCCCCGGAAGACCCTCTGAGGAGAGTAGCGGAGGCCTGTCCCACCGTACGCCTGAAGAGTACCGGGGGATGGCGCTCTCTGGGCCGGGAAGTCTGGACGGCGGCCGGTGTTGCGGGCCCCATCGAGCCGATGATCTCCCGCCGCCCCCCGCCGTGGACGGGTGCGGCTGGTGTCTCGCTGGCCCTGGATGTCGGCGAACTGCCGCTGGGCGCGTCGGCGGCGGACAGAAGACGGGCGGCGGAGAGGTGCCTGGGAGGCCTAACCCAGTGCGCGACCTGGATCTGGACGGACGGCTCGGCGGAGGGCGGAGTGGACAATGGAGGCGCTGGCGCGCTGGTGGTTCGCCCGGGAGGAGAGGAGCAGGAACTGCGAGCTCCGGCGGGCCGGCTGTGTTCCAGTTACCGGGCCGAGATGGTGGCTCTGGCCACGGCGCTGAGCTGGCTGCTGGACCACCCAGAGGAGGACCCGGGCGACCCGGTGATACTGTGCACCGACAGCCAGTCGGCTCTATCGGCCCTGCGCGCGGGACCGGCGGCCCAGCGATCACGGCTGGGTGCCACAATATGGCAGGCCCTGCTTATGCTGGCGGAGCGGGGCCGCCGGGCCCATCTACAGTGGGTTCCCTCCCACTGCGGGCTGGAGGGTAACGAACGCGCGGACATCCTGGCTAAGGAGGCGGCACAGCTGCCGCAGGAATCAGCCCCACTGGACGTTCAGACGGTCCACCGAGCGGCGGCAAGATCGGCGCGGGCGCGAGCGACGGCGCGGTGGCCCGAGGGATGGTACCGGGACCTCATGGGTTCGCGCCCCCCGCCGCCGGTGGCCGGCCTGGACCGTACGAGGGCGGCCGATGTCCACCAGTTACGAGCCGGTCACTGGTCGGCGTCGGCACAATATCTACACAGGATTGGAAGAAACCCTGGCGGGCGCTGCGAACAATGCAGTAGCCTCAGGTGCCCGGCGGCGCGGTGCATCATCTGCAAAGAAGAGGCGGACACACCGAGACATGTCCTGGCGCGCTGCCCGGCCCTGATGGGAACCCGCATGCGCGTGCTGGGGACTATACACCCACATCTGAGGGACCTGCGGGACGACGACGTGGTGGCGGCCCTGGCGGCCGCTGCCAGGTCCCTCCAGAGCCGTTCGGCTACGCTCGACTGAGCGGAGGGACTACAACAACAACAACAACCTTCAGGCAACACATCCACTGCATTCTCAATAGCAAGACACGTGACAAAGGTCGCCTTCTGCGACGCTGACTATCGCACGACTCCGTCGCCGTTCGTTACAAAATACGCATCAATGACGCGCGACATCAACACCGGAAATCTGTGCTAGACTACTCATGCTTTCTACTTATCATACAAATGTCGCGTCCGCTTCCGACTGCTCCGTGACGATATATCATCTGGCCTGACATTTCGCCTGACCTCTGAGGGCAGTCCCGTCTAGTCCCGTCCTCACTCACAAGTCTTTGATCTCGCGCGACGTCTTAGCCAGAAGTACCACCCTGGAGCAGTAATTGCTCAGCCCTACCCCACCTGGGAGCTCAGTGCCAGCGAGTTTGTCCCCAGCTGACCTATCACTGACCTTTCCACCGACACAGACAGTGACAATGTCACGGCACACTAAACTTGTCCGGAACACAGTGGCGCACAAATTTATGTAGAACGCCGCTCACATGAGATGTTACTTCACCCTCAACATGCCACAACATACCAGACTTTTAACCTTCACCCCAGTGGGGGGGGGGGGGCATATGTTACCACCCTGTCGCGTTTTTTGCGTGTGAATAAAAAACCGCAGTGCGTAGCGCCGCGCCGCTTGGGGTAGCTTTTGTACATCAATTTTGGACAATGTGTGAAATTTTTGACCCCAGGTCATGTCAGGTCAGGTCACCAGGTCAATTTAACTGAGCAAGCCTAAAAAAGTTTGCAAACATGTCCAGCCTGCAGTGTTTGACAGAAAGGTTTTAAACTTGGTGGATTGCATGATGTAATGGGCGCCTATAATTTGTATATCTCGGATTTTTTATATCCGTGCCCTAAGGTCAGGCCAGTGGCGTGACCTTACCATTATAAGTCAATGGAGAAAAATGAAAAAGCCTCTAGATCCGTGTGTACGCATAGGAACAGTCCAAATATTTCAGAATCACAATGATTTGGACCACCCGTGACGACCAATGTGTCTTTTTTGCTGATAAGCTCTAGAAAGGTCATCCGAGGTCATTTGAGGCTACAAACAGATGTTTGCCAATAACTCTCGATTGGAAAGAGATAGAACGCTGGGGATGGTCTCATTGTGTTTGTATTGCCGAGACGCATCGACTGATATGCAACATGACCTTTTCCGGTCAGGTCATGACCCTGACCTGAGGTCAAATTTTCAAGTTGACCTTTCAAGGTCAAATTATAGTTCATTCGATGCGTATCGGCGAGAGGAACACGATTCTGGCAATAGATATGTCGTGGCATAGACCTCTGTATACCTGGACTGGACACAGAAAATCTGGCCATGACCACAATGGCCCTAAAAGTAAACGCTTATAACTTGAGTGTCAGGTTACATACGACGTCCATTTTTTCACCGTCGCATAGCCCCATTCATTGAAAATGATGAGGACCATCCGCCGAACCGATGCGGTGTGATGGGGGAGGTCCTGCACGTGGCGCGTGAGAGATGTTTATGAAAATGGCAAGACGGTATCTCGGGAACGGCTGGGCCGAATGAGTCCAGATTTGGAACACAGCTAGGTATAACAAATTGGTCAATAACGTAGGGCCCAATTTTGAGGTACCAATGCACGTGCGCACGTGAGCACCCCTTTTCTGTATCTTAGAAACTACTCGTCCGATTTTGCTGAAATTTGATATATAGCCAGACACTCAGCAACCAATACGGGTGCACACCTCAAATATGAGGTGCAGCTGCACGTGCGCACGTGCACACCCCTTTTCTGTATCTCAGAAACTACTCGTCCGATATTGCTGAAATTTGCTATATAGCCAGACACTCAGCAACCAATACTGGTGCACACCTCAAATATGAGGT